GCACACGCAGAAAAATGCTGGGGAATGACTTCACAAGACACAGGCAGCATGGAGTGAGTAGATTCTATGAAAATGCCGGGGACCAACTTTCAACTGAGAACACCGCACATCACAAAAATTGGATCATTGCGACAGAATATGCAACAACATCTAGATAAATTGTAGATAAAGGCAACATTCAAAATGATATGTTTAAAACAGGCGAACTACACCATTTATACGAACTAAACGTTATCTATCCAGCATAATAAATGTGTGTATATGATCTAGGATACATAGTTTAGAATATCTGACTTAAGCGAAATTAATGACGAGTTTAAATATTTTGATTATAATAAATGGAAGTTTAACATGGAATGTGTTTTTTATCTTACCTTCTCAAGAATTTATTTTAAAACAGACTGTCTATTAATAAGTGGCATGATTTTAAGATAAACTAATTCCAATCTTCAGTGTATAGACAACAGGAACCATAAAATAATCTGGTAAACATTTTTGGAAAAAAATAATTGATATTTATTTTTAAATCAATATTTACAGATTGTTAATAGTTCCTCTAATAATCATTTTCAACGTTTTCTATATTAATCATATAATTAGTGTCATCATTGAAGACAGTGGCGTAGCCAGGATCGTCTCATTGGGAGGGGGGGGGTAAATTTTTTTCCATCATTATATATATATGTGTGTATGTTATCAGTTTTCCTTTTTTCACCTTGTTTGTACAGACATTTTGTAGAAAATGAAAGTAAAAGTGATCTATTTACCTGTTTGTTCTCCATGTCTATATGACATTATGTAGAAGATGAAAGTAAAAGTGATCTATTTACCTGTTTTTTCTCTATGTCTATATGGCATTATGCAGAAGATGAAAGTAAAAGTGATCTATTTACCTGTTTTTTCTCCATGTCTATATGACATTATGTAGAAGATGAAAGTAAAAGTGATCTATTTACCTGTTTGTTCTCTATGTCTATATGACATTATGTAGAAGATGAAAGTAAAAGTGATCTATTTACCTGTTTGTTCTCCATGTCTATATGACATTATGTAGAAGATGAAACTAAAAGTGATCTATTTACCTGTTTTTTCTCCATGTCTATATGACATTATGTAGAAGATGAAAGTAAAAGTGATCTATTTACCTGTTTGTTCTCCATGTCTATATGACATTATGTAGAAGATGAAACTAAAAGTGATCTATTTACCTGTTTTTTCTCCATGTCTATATGACATTATGTAGAAGATGAAAGTAAAAGTGATCTATTTACCTGTTTGTTCTCCATATCTGTTGAGACATTCTCCAGCTGGACACCTCCGTTAGCAGCTGCCCGAGTACTCGGGACATGGAGAGTTTTTCATTGCACTCGTTCAACAGGTGGTGTGTTTGGTGACTCACCTGGTGGACAGGGGTGGGGGTGGTGGTGGTGGGGGGGGGGGGGGCTTATTGACATTTGAAGGTGAGGTTACCGTCTGCTCATGCGCTTATCTTTCCCTCCAGTCAGCGAATCAGTCATGCGTAAAACAATGTTGCAAGCACGCGGAAAGTCGGTGAAAGGAGACGTTGCACCAGCTGGGCTTAAGTCAGGGGCGTAGCTTTACATCCATGATCCGGGCTTATATATATATATATATATATATATATATATATATATATATATATATATATATATATATATATATATATATATATATATATATATATATATATTCACTTATCCAAAAGCTTACAAATTCAGATATCTACAAATCCTACGCTCCACAAATCCAATAACCCAACAATTCCAACATTCAACAAATCCAATAACCCACAAGTCCAACATTTAACAAATCCAATAACCCAACAATTCCAACATTCAACAAATCTAACGCTCCCAGTCAGCTAAAGCCTGTAAACTTTGTTTAATCATTCATCGGCTGTAGACACGCATAGCTAGTACTCTTCAAGGACAGTCAATGATCTATTACATAACGCTATAATTGTTGGTGAGGGGGGGGGGTATGGGCAAGCAGACATGTGTTTTCGTGCTTGTATTTTTGTGTACACGCATGTTCAATCATCCGAGACTTGCAATGGTAGACATATTTTACATCACAGGTGTCACATTATGTGTGACAGTTGTCACAGTGGGGGCGCCAGAGAGATGTCACATTGTAGGGGCGTCACTAGAGAGATATGTCACACAGCAGGGGCGTCACTAAACTCTTATGTACCTATGGCAGATTTTTCTAGGGCATATGCACCTAGGGCAGATTTTTCCTAGGGCATTTGCACATAGTGCAGATTTTTTCTGATGCATATAAACCTAGGGCTGATTGTTCCTAGGGCATTTGCACATAGTGCAGATTTTTTCTAATGCATATGCACCTAGGGCTGATTTTGTCTAGGGCATATACACATAAGGCAGATTTTTTCTAGGGCATATGCAACTAGAGTTGATGTTTCTATTTTTGGCGTACCATGGTCACATGTAACTGGGGCACCTAAGGCTCCAAATGTAACAGGAACAAAATCTCAATCAAATGTTTTCAAATATTTCGGACAAGTAATTTCTTTAAAAATCATGTCAGGTCGAATTAGTGGGATTAAAATCAAAAGTCTTTCGGTTTAATTAAAAAAATATTGTAAAAAGTGGCCTATAATTTAAAAACTATTTTTTTTTAAATGTAAAAAAATCGTAGTGGGTGTGAAACATTACACAGCAAAACAACACAGCAACGCAACACAGCAATGCGACAACAACACAATTTCAGTTTTATTCTTTTACACTGTAAAATATCCCAAAGACTATTTGTTTTCCAATTTAGATTCTGTCAGCTAATTATAGACATGACTTGCATACATGTCAGAGAGCTTAATGCACCAGTACTCACTTCCAATCAGGTGACCTAAGCGACCCTCTTGACCTTGAGCCTTTGATGTAACTCGGCCAATAGCGTTCTAGACGAGCTGTATAGGAAAGTACCTCGTGAATTTTTCAGTGTTTTCGATACCAATTAGCCCATTTGTGACGTCATGCAGCGTCACTCCTAAAAACTATTTGCTTGCCGTGCAGTTATTTAATTCATGCAATCAGAGCCATTTGTGCACTCGAGATTCAAGGGACGATACTCCAGTATTGTCGAGAATTCCTCGTTTACCTCCCTTTGATGCTGCTTTTCGGTATTGCCGTTAATTAATGATAGAGCTGGTTCGATTTTTGTCAGTGTTTCTTCCAGACTTTTTTCTCCGGGGGGGCACTTGAAATCTTCGGGGGGGCGGTAAACTTTCTTCGGGGGGGCGGACACTGTTAAAAGTATATATTTTCTATATAAATTATATAAATTTCATTTCGTTCGGGGGGGCGGTAAAAAATTTTCGGGGGGGCTTCGCCCCCCCGAAGAGATGCCTGGAAGAAACTCTGATTTTTGTGCCGCGCATTTGCAGTTGATTTCGACAGTGTTTAAAAATAACTGTTATATGTATGATAAGATAATATTAATATAATGATGAAGATTATACTAAAAAACTTGAAGAAATAAAATGTTGCATAAAAAAATTTAAATATTTTAATTATATATAAACAAAAGACATGAATTATCCATAGAATAAATGAAATACATGTAAAGCCGTATCAGTCCTCACAAGCCGATGATAAAATTTAAAAACTGCAAAACTAAAGCGCAGGTATATTTCAATGCAAACTGACGCTGTATATTACATGTATGTCGTAATTAAAAAAAAAGTAGAATCAACTCTCGACTGATTTTATGGATGTAGTTTGTGTGTTAGAAAAGTAGGCTAAGATTATTTACAGACTACAATAAAAAACCTAACCGTAGCAATCACACGCGTGAAACATTTTCGGGACGCTAACATAGGCAGCAAAGGAAGAGACGGTGGCTAGTCCATGCATAAAGGACCATATCTCATCTCTGGCCGCTATGGCCCAAGGAAAAGCTAGGCATTGTATTTGGTACTGCTCCACTCCCAGGAAGCTGTTGATTGACTTTTGTCTTCTAGATGGGTTGCTGTCCCTGTGTAGCGAACCCCTTCTCTAGATGGGTTGCTGTCCCTGGGTAGCGAACCCCTTCTCTAGATGGGTTGCTGTCCCTGGGTAGCGAACCCCGTCTCTAGATGGGTTGCTGTCCCTGGGTAGCGAACCCCTTCTCTAGATGGGTTGCTGTCCCTGGGTAGCGAACCCCGTCTCTAGATGGGCCCCTGTCCCTGGGTAGCGAACCCCTTATCTAGATGGGTTGCTGTACCTGAGTAGCGAACCCCTTCTCTAGATGGGTTGCTTTCCCTGGGTAGCGAACCCCTTCTCTAGATGGGTTGCTGTCCCTGGGTAGCGAACCCTTTCTCTAGATGGGTTGCTGTCTCTGGGTAGCGAACCCCTTCTCTAGATGGGTTGCTGTCCCTGGGTAGCGAACCCCTTATCTAGATGAGTTGCTGTCCCTAGGTAGCGAACCCCGTCTCTAGATGGGTTGCAGGACTTTTGTGTCTTGTAAGAACCCCCCCTTTCCTCCCCTCCCTCCCATTCCCAATATTTCACCTACGAAATAACACTCCATGATACGGCTATATATTATTTCCTTCTTCATTCACATACAGCATACGTCGTGGCCGGGTGGAGGAGCGTACACCTTCTATTCCGAAAGCCACGAGTTCGAACACCGGGCCCTACTCCAGCCGTTATTGCAACCTAACTCACCTTAGGTGAACCTCACTCATGGAAGGTTCAAAGGGCAACCTAACTGTACGTACACACTAGTAAATCTGCCCAACATTAAAACGTCGATTGCTATTTTTTTAAAATATTTAAACAAAGATTCAAGTACAAACATAAAACCCTTCTAATAATTAAATGAACTGAAAGTGAAATAAATCCAAACTAACTTGCATTCTTTTATAAAAAGATTGGCAGCTCATGAGATCTCTTACATAATGCAAAAAACCAAATCTTTTATTTAAGATTGCAGGTTTGTTTTCTTTTCTTATCTTCAGTGCATTCAAAGGCTTATTATTGTATGATTTTCTAACATTTGTTTCATTATTTGCAGATATTGATAACTAAATAAAGCTTATAAAAGCTCTGAGCGTGCTATTTTAAACAGACGAATGTGCTGAACCAACTCAACTCTGTATAGGTGTGTGCAGAATAAATGGTCATTCATTGTACAAAAATATAAAAAAGGCATTGATATCACACACGAAATCCCAAGCTGTTCATTCAAAGTTTGCTAGCTTTGACATCAATAAACATTTCTAAAAGTTATCATCACAATATGGATCATAACATTCTTCGGGGCGTGGCTTTGATATTGGATTGTTTCAAATCGTTTTCCCATACAGTCGTTGTGAGATCTCCTATGGTGAGGTCACGTCTGCGCTGTCGTCTGCTAGCCTGTTGGCCGACTGAACCTGCTCCACCTCATCCACCCCACTCCCTGACAGTGTGCTCTGTCTCTCAATCACCCACTTCGTCACGGAGCTGCGCCGACGCCCCTGGGTCCTCCTGGGGGTGGCGCCGTCCTCCGTCAGCTCCCCGTTGGTACTGCTGAGGGCACCCATGTGGCTCTTGTAGGTGCTGTCGATCTGCGAGTGGTCAAAGATGTCGGACACGCTCGCGCGCCTGCCCATATTTGGACCGGCGGCCACTTCCTGCCGTATCTGGACCGTCTCGTTGAACAGGACGTTGCCCTTTGACCCCCGCTTGCCGCGTCTGGCCGCCTGCTGGATCTTGGTCTCCTCCGACACCTGCATCATGGCCTCCCGGGCCTCGGGCGACAGACCCAGGGAGAACTTCTCCTTGGGTCTCTTCTCCAGCACTGAGCGAATCTCAGCCAGCTCCATGGGTTTCATCTTGGTGAAGTGTACCGTCGTGTCGCCGGTGTTCATCATTTCTAAGCTCGTGTGTCTACGGTACAAGCAGTACAGACTCTACACTACACACGTTTAACCCTACCGACTTGATTAAGAACGCCAACACCACACAATCTAGACAATAAATTGTCTCGAGAATCTCGACGCTGAAATACCTGACGAGTCTAGAACTCGATGTGTTTTTATTTTTATTTTCGGACACAATATATTTAGAATATTATTTTCACAATTTATCTAATTCTACACCAATTTCTTCCCAGAATCAAGATAGCATAGGCAAACTTAGGCCCCCAAAACTTTAAAACTTACGTAAGACTTCACCCAACGACAAAACTAGTCTCAAATAATCCTCTGCTTCAACCTTCACGACTTCACAACAGTAGCTAATCCCTTCCTTTGTACAGACTAGACTACACTGGATTATCCTCTATAGAAAACTGTCAATGATTTGCATATCAACTTAATCAAGACTAGCGGGTTTTCCCCGAACACAGAACTTGTAGGCCGTCAGAATTTGTAGGCCGTCTGTATAATACCGCCAGAATTCCAATCATCGAACATAGACTCTTTCTTATAACAATGCCTTAGCTGGGGTAGCTTTGTTGTGTAACTTTGTTGCCCGGATTTGTTGCTCGACTTTGTTCTCCAACTTTTGGATTTATTCCGTGCGATTGACAATTCTGTGAATAAAATAAAACAAGTGTCAAATTATCACAATAATATTAACTTTTTAACCCACTTTTAAGCATAGTATCCATACTCTTTATAAATACAAGGTGATATAGTGTTCTGTTCGATAAATAATGTGGTTTTCTAGAGGAAAGTAAAATGTTTTCTTTCAATAGGCCTCGCATTACGAACATGTTTTGCTCCCCTGATACATTTTTGGTACGAAAAATTCGTGGCACATGATATTAACGCTGCAAGATAATCCTGGTTCAAGATATTCCTAGTACGAGACGTTCGTAGTGTGAGGCATTTATAGAATCAGACGTTCGTAGTACGAGAATTTTTTAGTGAGAAACGTTCGCAGTGTAAAACGTTCGTAGTGCAAGAAATTTTTAGTGCGAAACGTTCGTTGTGCGAGACGTTCGTAATGCGATACGTTCGTAGTACGAAACGTTCGTTTAAAATATATCTAATCTGTATATTTAGAACTAACTGCAGCCATAAAAAAGAATATTAAAATTGCTCCAATCGTACAATCTATGCCCAATCAATAAAGTGACATTCTAAGGACGTCATAACGAGGTTTCAACAAAAGATATACCCAGTCAATATTTGACATTTTTACAGCCTTTATCTGCAATACAATTTTAAAATGTTATCACATGTAAACATTCCTGGTAAAATTTTACAGTCCCAGCCGTCAGTTATGCATGATTTACAACCCCACCCCCCCCCCCCACATGTTAAACATAGTATTGTGACATTAAAACAATCTACTCCCCACACCCTCACACCCTCAAAGCAAGACTGTCTTATCTGACGTCGTGTCTCGTATTGCACCTGTCTTCATAAAAACTCGATTCTGACGAGTGTCCTTATACTCAGTCAAAATTCATTTGAAATCTTTCGATGGGCGGGGGAGGGGGGGGTATAACTACATGTACTGTATGGATTAACTTTAACTTTTTGTTCTAAGGGGTTTAGGATTAATGGGTCATTAGTCTCTTAACATCCGATGTTACCTTACAGTTTCTGGCGAAGTAAAAGGTGTCAAGTTTGATCAGAGAGACAATCTATCGTTCAGGGCCATGTCTCTGTTATCGTTCTAGTGTTTGTGTTTGTATGTGTGATTGTATGTGTGATTGTGTAATTGTATGTGTGATTATATCAGTATTTAAATTTAGAGTTGTATTGATGATATGTTTAGACCGTGTTTATGGTTGTTTGACTGATTGTATGTGTATTTTACGCGTATATCAGTGCTAATATATTACTTTGAGTACTTTTTATGTATGTTTGTATGTGAGTTTAAATGATTTTATGTGTCATTTTATATGTGTTTGTAGTTATGTTTTGTTAAAACAACCTAACTAACACGTCACAATTCCCCCCCCCCTCCCTTCCCATGTTAACATAAAGTAAAAGTTCTCGATAAAAAAATCAATGTGGCCTTGAGTAGTCACGATATTATCAGCAGGAAGTTTGATTTTTGATTAATTAGTTTTAATAAAAGTTGCTGTTAATACAAATCGATTCATTACTTTAAATAAACGATAACGGCTTATTTGTAATAAAAACAATTAATATAAGATTAATACCAACACACCAACCTCAGGCTGATCTTAACATTAATCCTAGCGCTAATCCTATATCTACTCTAACATTATCCCTACCCTAACCGTCAACTTAATACTGACTCTAGCTCTAAGGATCGATGCTATCACCCGTTCACAAGTGTGGGTACGGGTAACCGATTTGATGTGAAATTCCCACACTGATAGTTTGTTTCATCAACAACAACAAAAGTTGAATAACGACTCCATATTTTGTCAATAAATAGCAATCATACGTCACAGCGACGACCAAACGAGTGGATTATCTGACGCTTTCACTCGGCTGAGAAACTACACTGGAATCTTTCAGGGCGGGGGAATGGTGGGTGAAGGTGTGGTGGGTTGGTGTATGGTTTGGTGGGTTGGTGTATGGGTGAAGGTGTGGTGTGTGGGTGAATGGTGTGGTGGGTTGGTGTGTGGGTGATGGTGTGGTGGGTTGGTGTGTGGGGTGAATAATTTTTTCGATTGGTGTAAAGGGTGAATAGTGTGGTGGGTTGGTGTGTGGGTGATGGTGTGGTGGGTTGGTGTATGGGTGAATAGTGTGGTGGGTTGGTGAATAGTGTGGTGTGTTGGTGTATGGTGTTGTGTATGGTGTGGTGTGTTGGTGTATGGGTGAATGGTGTGGTGGGTTGGTGTATGGATGAATAGTGTGGTGGGTTGGTGAATAGTGTGGTGTGTTGGTGTATGGTGTGGTGTGTTGGTGTATGGTGTGGTGTATGGTGTGGTGTGTTGGTGTATGAGTGAATGGTGTGGTGGGTTGGTGTATGGGTGAATAGTGTGGTGGGTTGGTGAATAGTGTGGTGTGTTGGTGTATGGTGTGGTGTATGGTGTGGTGTGTTGGTGTATGGGTGAATGGTGTGGTGGGTTGATGTATGGGTGAATGGTGTGGTGGGTTGGTGTATGGCGTGGTGGGTTGGTGTGTGGGTGAATGGTGTGGTGGGTTGATGTATGGGTGAATGGTGTGGTGGGTTGATGTATGGGTGAATGGTGTGGTGGGTTGGTGTATGGCGTGGTGGGTTGGTGTGTGGGTGAATGGTGTGGTGGGTTGATGTATGGGTGAATGGTGTGGTGGGTTGATGTATGGGTGAATGGTGTGGTGGGTTGGTGTATGGCGTGGTGGGTTGGTGTGTGGGTGATGGTGTGGTGGGTTGGTGTGTGGGTGATGGTGTGGTGGGTTGGTGTGTGGGTGAATAGTGTGGTAGGTTGATGTATGGTGTGGTGGGTTGATGTAGGGGGTGAATGGTGTAGTGAGTGGGTGTGGGGGGTGAATGGTGTAGTGAGTGGGTGTGGGGGGTGAATGGTGTGGTGGGTTGGTGTGTGGGTGAATAGTGTGGTAGGTTGATGTATGGTGTGGTGGGTTGATGTATGGGTGAATGGTGTGGTAGGTTGGTGTAGGGGTGAATGGTGTAGTGAGTGGGTGTGGGGGGTGAATGGTGTAGTGAGTGGGTGTGGGGGGTGAATGGTGTAGTGAGTGGGTGTGGGGGGTGAATGGTGTAGTGAGTGGGTGTGGGGGGTGAATGGTGTGGTGGGTTGGTGTGTGGGGTGAATGGTGTTGTGGGTTGGTGTGTGGGGTGAATGGTGTTGTGGGTTGGTGTGTGGGTGAATGGTGTGGTGTATGTGTAGAATGGGATCTATAGAATGGGATATCTAGAGTGGGATATCTAGAGTTGGATATCTAGAGTGGGTCTATAGAGTGGGATATCTAGAGTGGGATCTAGAACTGAGTCGTAACGTACACCCGAGTTTATGAGCTGAAAACTTTCTGGCTGGTTTTGTGAGCTAAATTTTTTTATCAAATGTATCGGGATGGGAGGTGGGTAATGGGGACAACAATGGTGGGGCTTCGTAGTGGGTCAACAAAGGGTGTCAGTAGTGGGTGGGTCAACAGTGGGTGGATCAACGTGTCAGGGCAACACTAAACATCCTAGAAACATTTATAATCATTGCCCGTCTTTCTGCCCGCGAAAAAAAACAGATCAAAAAACTTTAGAGCCCATAAAATCTGCTTGGCGTGAAGAAGTTTGTTTATGTTATAAAAATATTCATTTAACTAAGTTTTGTTTTGTGCTGAGACATTGATTGACTTGCCTACCGTGATCTTAAGACAGCATCGATTTATTGCATTCACTGTATCATTAAACACCCACCCCATGTGGTCTGGAAATAGTTCTTTGAAAATTAAATTTCACTATACCAACTCATGAACAATACAAGCACAGCGTTCTCTGAGTACGCTAAGAATTCGATCAGAGATTTATTCTACACGGAAATGTAGGTTAATTAAAAAGTGAAGTAGTACGCAGCATACAGCTAAGTCGTATTAGGAAACAAATATATTTGAATACTGGTGGAGCTGTTGTTATATAAAAAAAACCCCACTAGGATTTCTGGCTACAACTCTATATTCTGTATAACGGATACAAGAAATAAGGTATTTTTTAATCGAGAAAGAAACAATCAACATATAAAAAGCTTTATTTATTAAGTTACCTATAAATAGATTTGGAGCTGCTATAAATAGATGGCAAGTTTCCCATTAGCACGTGAAGTATTGCACCGAGCGCCCTCACTCGACGACTAATAATTTCTATATTTAGCTGCCATTGTTTTCTGAGGGAAATATTGCATCCATTCTAAACCCGCTGGTGAACATTGATCCATGTACAGTTGAAGGGCGGAGTCTAGATTAGTCTTCAGATTTTATAAGGATTTTAGTTCTAAAATAGTTTGGTTATAGGCTGATCGTCGCAGCTCATTTGGTTTTTATTCAGTGGCGTCGCCAGGTCAAGTGTCACTGTGGTGAAGTGGGGTTGGGGGGGGGGTAACTTGGAGTGTCACCCTCTCCAACTTTAAAAAAGCATGCCGTATGAATACATTACCATAATGACTTATTTAGTTACTTGAACATCATATGTTATACAACAACGCTAATCTTGTTCCTTAAAATTGGGGACGATGAAACCGCAATAAAACCACCAAAAAGCCACCCTCCCCTCAACCCCCCCCCCCCCCTGTGTGAAATCTCCCACTAACATCGCACTACTTAGTGTCGACCTGGTGCATATAGCGCCGCTCGAGATTTTGAAATGTCAATAAAACGCCTCATTGAATTGTGTATTCAGCCGTTCAGATTTTTAAACGCCTTTTGAAATGGATCTGAATATCACCGACCGCGCGATCGTGGGGTGGACAATGGGGGCCCCGAGGGTGCGGATAATTAATCAGCCAGGGTGCCACGTCCAGTCAATATGAAATGTTGGATTTAGTACTTAGCACTGTAATATTAATCATGCCGAGTTCCACGAATTTCAATTAGAGTACTATTCAAATAATCCCACATAACATAACATTTGAATATTTTTTAATGTCTAAGTTGAACGGATGTTGCTCATGATTTATAGTTTTGTAACCATGCTTTATGTTCTTGGATAAAATAAAGATTAAGAATATAGAGGTGTTGAAAATTAAATAACAATATCACACATGAAGTTTTATCTCAAAGTAGTTAAGTAGCTGAACATGACTATGATACGAAAAGGAGCGTTTGTATAGCTCAATGTAATCTTCTACGGAACAACGTCTTTTCGATTGGGTGAAGTTTGTCATTTCCTGGGGTATCAGCTTACCAGACCATCATACGTTGTCTCAATTTTTACACACCAAATTAGGAAATTAAAGGCTAATCACATTTTTTTTTTACAAATTACAAACTCATATGCGCTTTAGATCGGTGGATATACACATATGAGGATTTACTTGTATAACTTCATAGTTTTTAGAATTCTTTTTAGTCGAAGCATTGCTTGGATCCACTCATTACCATCCAACCGAGGGGGGGGGGGGGGGTACAGGCAATGTCCGGCTGGTCAAGCAGGTACTGGTTTGATCATCGCTACTGGACATCAACTAGGTGGGTAGAGGTCCTGGTCGCCTTGACAGAGTCAGATTAAAGCCACTACTCTCTAACGACCGAAATGACCTCCATTCTACAACTATACTTCAATGCTATATTAGCCACAACTCTGATGTTGTGACGCCAGTGTCAAACACAGAAGATTCAAACTTCAAGAATAAATTAAATATTTTAAAATATTTTTCTAAAAATTACTACCCCCCCCCCCCCCCCCGATCATAACTTCTATTTTAAACTCCCCATGACATCAACCCGATATCGGAAGTTAGTGAAAAAGGGGAAACAATGCATCAAAGAAACAAGAATTTCCATAAAGGGAAGTAACCCTTTGCGCTAGTCAATATATACACAGCGAACTAATTAACCTTGCTTCCAGTTATTTTTTAAACGTTATTAAAGAAGAGATGTGAGTGAAAATAAAATTCTTCCCGTGGCAACGATCTCTAAAGTAGTATGATGGAGCAATTACTATCGTTTATTTTTAAATAATGTTAACAAAAGCCCTATTGGGCATAAATCGATTAAAAGTTAAACAAGGAATAACCCAAAAGATAATTTCGATGGACATATGGTGAACATAGGTCAATGCCTTACTTTTGTACTGTTAGAATGCTGTGGACAACTCATTCGTAGTGTTTTAAATTCTAATGTATTTCGGTTCAATTAAATGCCTTAATATTTAGACTATGCTGTTTCCTGCAAACGTAACATAAATAAAAATGTTGTATAAAATATGTATATAGACATTACTTTCACTGTTTTGAATAAACTGAAAAAACCCACCTAAAGGAAAAAAAAAATACTCTACTTTACGCTTCATCCATGTTGCTTATATTTATAATATAATTCTCCTTTTATCCTAAATTTCTTTCAGCTCTAGTTATGAGCCAATAACCCCTTAACCCATCCCACAGAAAACGACGCTCTTTTAATTATGTTGTTTTCTTCTCTCCATAGATCCGCGAATCAACATTTAATTAAACATTTATATTTTCAGGTTTAAAAATTAAATTGAAATTAGACATTTCTTTCTATGTAAACCATCTTCAAAGAATAAAAGTGCATGCCAGAAAGAAGTATTACTATTGTAAATCTGCCTCAGTCTTCATAGACCGATGATGAAAACTATAATATTTAATGCGAAACTGAAGCTGCAAATTTCAAAGAAAACACAAGAGTACAAAATATATTTAAAATCACGTAATCTTGTATCACTTTAAAAAAAAAATCTAGACCTACTCAATATCACTAGTCTTGTTTCAATATGTAGGCCTAAATGGAATGTGAATGAAAGGGCTGGATAACAAACTGTCCAGTTGGGATTTGGGAATAGTGCTAATCACCTACTCACAGAATGTGCTGAGGAATAGTGCTACCCGCATAATTACATAATATGCTTAGGAATAATGCTAATCACATAAACCCCATAACATGTAGGAGAAATAGTGATAGCCACATAATTATGCTGAAAATACGCCTACATTACGTGTAATACATTCGATAATAAAGACATGTTCATTGACTGAATTGGACCATTTCTCTGATTCGTCTGTAAGAGTTCTCACATTTTAGATTCTAACCTTGCTACCTACATAGTTTATCGTTGGACATTGCTAAAGCTTAGATAGCCTTAATCAAAAGTATCATTGAAATGACTTCGAATGGGTTTCTCTAAAAATATATTTCAATAAGCTTCATATTCATGACGAAAATTTATAAGTCGAACTTTCTGTTTGATATAAAGTTTTCACTTTGCGTTCTTCACATTGATAAGGGTGAAAACTTAATACGAGCAGGCGATTTAAGGTCAAGTAGATTAGCTACAAGTACTTACATTGTAGGGGCAAGTAGATTAGTACAGGCAAGTAGATTACACTCTGTTTTCTCGACAAACTGTGTGTGGGATGGGGTGGTGGGATGGTAGAGCATACGACTGTTAACCCAAAAGACTCGAGTTTGAATCCCGGGTTCGTGTCAGTAGAACGTCACCCAATCCACAAAGCTCTGGTGGGTACCTGACTCATTTTAGGGAAAGTAACGGTGGCTGGGCATATTGCTGACCACACTTCATATGCCGAGGTCATATTAGAGTTCGAAACAGTATTTACTATTATAATACATATAATCTTTTTATGTAAATAGGCTGCACTAAAACAAACAAACAACCGCCAAACCACCCGAAACTAATATAATCCACAAACAATAGCGTTAAAGTAACAGTTTCATTTACAGTTTCGTCAACTATACTTCAGCTTAATTATTTTAATTTCTTTCTTTATATGTAAAAATAAAAGACAATACTAACCTTATCTTAGTCCAAGGAGAAATCCTTAATCCGGTAATCTGAGAATGGTACGAGGCTTATGATCCACACCTGTTTGATCACTTTCTGTTTTATTGATCAGCATTGAGCAGCCGATCACAGAACCGCGACAGACGAGAGTACTTGTGTGAGGGGAGTGGGGGTACTAGTGTGTGTGTGTGGGGGGGGGGGGGGAGTGGGGGTACTTGTGTGGGGCAGTATCTCTTCAGCCAGCCATTTCACTATCGGTTCGCTGACTTCATTTATCCACAGGACGTTTCAAATGTTACAAGTGGCAAGGCTTGCCGAGGACTTATTTAAATATCGATTTTTATGAATATGCCGTAAATCACCGTTCTGTCTGTTATTAATTCTAGAACCAGGAGGTGCACAGACTGAGTTGTAGGGCGAAGTGACACGTTTAATGAAAAGTATTTAGCCTTCGTGATCGTGCATATAGTATACAATATAGGGAGTGGCTGGGGGAGGGGGGGGAGATCATTTCGTTAAATTGGGTTGTATCTGATGTGGCTATCGTTTATGAGTTTTATGTGGTGGAATGGTTGTTTATCACTGGGTTAAACTGAGCTATATGTGGTATGCAGAGGCGTAGCGACCCCTCCCGGCGCACAGGGACAAACTTTCTTTGGCGCCCCCCCCCCCATATATATTTTTTTTAAATTTATAATTCAAAACTGCAGCTAAAATGAACTTTTAATTATTATTTTTTCAACCCATTTTGGCACCCCTGGGGTCGGCGGGGGACATATGTACCCACCCGCCCCTAGGCGTGTGTGTGTGTGTGTGTGTGATCATCTTAACTCTAGTTGTATAGGCTATAACTTTTGTTTTTATTAAATTATATATTTTTCTTAGTGTGTATGTGTGTCTGTGTGTATGTGGGGAGGGGGGAGGGGGATAGTTGTGTATTGGGGGGGGGGGGGAGTGGACACAGGTTGAATGAGGCTTTACATTTTGTATAGACAATCCCCGAAGAGATGCCTGACAGAAACTCTGAATGTAGACGTAAATGTAATTTTAGCTTCTCTTCACTTCCCGATAAAACTTTTCATAAACATAAATTAACAGTCGCGGTAAAAATTTGGGTCGTGAAAATAGCGTCATTGTGTTTGTGTCACATAATACAGTGGAATTTGCAGCTTTAGCAAACGATTTTCTTTTTCGCATCTCATAATTAACTGTCCTTGGATTGTGGCATAACCATCTACTAAACTAAAATTTAAAATGTATAGTACGAATCAGGTAAACATAAACAGTTTATGAAAAATAAACAATCTGATACCAGAAAGGCTTTTAATTTTTTTTTTATAAAATAAGGATTTTATACTTTGCATTCCACCATTATCGTATTTTTTAAAATTTTAATACATTGAATTTTTAAAAATCAAAATGATCTGTTTTTTGGGGATATGATATAGAAATCTAGATCTAGACTGATATTCCACATTTTAATCTGGCCAAATGTCAACCACAACAACATCAGATTTGGAAATGGAGGAGTTAGGAACAATCAAAGGGTACATGACTGCTTTACTCAATGCATATGAACAGTTGAGAGGTAAAGTGCAAGTAATGGATTAAACATTAAGGTTTTTTCTTAGTTAGATCTAAATCTATCCACTGTTAACACATTTTATTCTAGATGTAGATCTAGAAATCTAGTCTAGATCTAGAACTAGAGATCTAGAACTAGAAATCTAGATCTTAGAACTAAATTAGATTAATTAAATTCTAGATCTAGATTTCTAGTTCTAGAAATCTAGATCTAGAACTAGAAATCTAGATTAGATTAAATTCTAGATCTATATCTAGAGTCTAGATCTATAAGCTAGATCTACCTGCGAAAGAAAAAAATAATGCACGCAAAGCCGGTTGCAGAGTATTATTTGCCTGTAAGAAATTACATCTCTAAGCTCTAGATCTACATCTAGACCAATGTTCCTTCTCTAAGCCCTAAGGCTGGGAAAAGCTAGTGTGCATCATGTATTTTCTGTGCTCGCTGTTCTAAAAGAAAGTCTTAGGACTATACAATACAAGGATATATTTATTTTACAAAATCACTGCGCAGTAGCTCAAAATAAAATTACTGCGCAACAGCGCAACAGCGCAGCTTAGAGGGAACATTGATCTAGACTTAGTTAGTTAAGTTCGGTTCTTGATCTAGAATCTATATTCCACTTGGACTGGTGATAAACATCCTCAATAGTTTATTTTTAGAATAAGCCTATCATCCTAAGTCCTAAGTTAATAAAGTCAGAATTTAATATTAATCAGGCTAAGTCAAATTAATTAGTAATTGTTTGATCTACCACCTCAAAAAATTATTAGATAATTATTATTATTTTGCAAATAATAATTTATATTGAATGTATGCAAACATAATAATTCTGAATACTTAGGCTAAATACTATTAAACAGATAGTAGTAATCATAATCCAGTAAACAGCTGGCTCTTCAAAGATGAACTATAAATTGTTTTTTTTTATTATAAACAAGTAGGCTTTAAGTAAAGCGTAATCTTTTTCTAAACGTAGTTTAAAATTTAATCAAATCAAAATAAAATAAAATTAAATCATTACTTAGTTAAACCCATAGATCTCACCATCTGTACAAAACCATCTATATCCACTTGTATCTCAATTATCACAGCAAATGGTTTGCCGCAAATTATGATCATAATTCTAATATTAACCTCTCTAAATCTAACCAACACTAAGAAAAAGTGAGCTTGTAACATATTTTTATAATTACTAGATTATATTGAAAATTGTGTAATGGTTTATTATTTTGAAAGTTATGCATAATAATTTTTCTATTATTTTTCAGGAAAAAAGGCATATAATTGTTGCAGACCATTCTGGGACCTGGTAATTATAACCACAATTGATGAGGATCAGAAATCTGCTTTCGAGCTGCAGATAGTTGAGAAAAGATCGCGGCAGGAGCTGCCTCTAGACCTGGTCATCCATGTGGTGTCTGACCCACCAGGCATCAGAATAGGTAAAAAATGTTTGAGCTAGTGTTATCAACTTTAGTTAGAATATGTACACAAATTGAGCTAGTCTTATAAACTTTAGATACAATATGTACGCCGTCGCAGATATAGTTGTGGCTTACATCAATCATTTGTATGTTAAAGTTAAAAATATAACTTGTAGAACCTTGCGTGAACTATGTTATTTTTTATCTCTCAATGTGTTGCTAAGCTAAGTATAATCACAGCAATGTAGTTTGTTTTAGTTGAATTCCTGTGTACATATATCTTAAAAAATATTTAACAGTATGCAAGTTATTTTACTTCATTATTTTTTCTGCCTGTTGTGTTGTGAGTAACACACTTTCTCTGCCTGTTGTAACACTTTATTTTTTTTTACCTGTTGTCCTGTAGGCAATGGTGGCTCAACTCTGACAGCCCTGGAGTTCCTGGACGCCACCTATGGGGCGGCCATGTTTGAGAAGAAGATCCTGCTGATCCATGCAGGGGGGTGGAGCCAGCGGATGCCCAGCTCAACCATTCTTGGCAAAGCTTTCTCCCTGCTCCCCCACGGGTCCCCACCCTATCAGATGCTGGACTTCAAGCTGGCGCTGTACTGGCCCCTAGTGGAGAGAATCGACCCTGGCGTGTTTCTTGTCTGCGCTGATGATTTCATGGTCTACACTATGGAGTCAGACAAGACTTGGAGGGTCCCAGCTCAAGGTTTCACAGCGCTGGCCCACCCATCCCCTATTTCAGTGGGGAGGACTCATGGTGTCTTTGTGATAAAAAATGTGGATGAGTTTGATAAAGAAGTACCTGTTCATGTGGGTGAGTGCCTGCAAGCGCTGCAGAAGTTCTCTGATGAGGGCATGAAATCTCATGGTGCCCTGTTGAAAGGCAGCGACCATCAGTTTGCTGGTGGGGTCCACGTCCAGGGGGAAGCTGTCTACACAGACAGCTCCTTCTACTTCGGCACAGATGTTATGAAGAAACTTCTGGATTTCAAGAAATGTGTGGGGGGCCTGGGCTGTGAGATAGATGCTTACGGTGACTTCTTACAGTCTGTGGGGGTAAAGGCAAGTGATGGCTACATCAAGCTGATATCTAATGTCAGCCAGGTGACCTCCAACCTCCAGGAGATGCGCCAAAAAGTGTTTCACGCCCTGAATGGGTCAGAGTTCCACGTCCTGATCCTCAACGCCTCGGTGTTTGTCCACATTGGCACGGCTAAAGAACTGTTGTATCACTTCTGTCATGACCAGACGTTTCAGGACCAGATGGCCTTTCAGAAAGATGTATTCAATGTATGGGCTGGGACCATACCTAGCACCACAGGCATTGTAGCAGACTCTAATGAAGATAAAACCAACGTCTCTGAGACTGCATGTGTTATGCATTCCATAATGCACACCCAGTCTGTGATTGGAGACAACTGTGTCATAGATTACTGTGATTTTCCTTTACCACTAGAAATTTCTTCCAACTGTATCCTTAGCAACTGCCAGCTCTCTAACGCTGATAGTGCTGGTGGTGTGAACATCCCAACAGAATCTTTCCTGCACACAGTTCCCATCAGCCTGCAAGGCACTGTCAGGTTTGTCACTGTCTACTTCAATATCAATGACGACTTGAAGAAATCTGTCGCATCTTGCGACGTCGAGTCCCTACCTTTTAGTGGCGGCAGTATCAAGGAGTTCCTGAGTGCCAACAGTCTAAGTGTAGAGGATGTTGTGCCAGGCTGCTACAAGGACAGGAAGATCAGTCTCTGGAGCTTAAAGCTGTACCCAGCTAAAGATTCTATGTCTGCTTCGTTCAGAGATGCAGTTGTGGCCCTTAACTTGGAAACAAGGGAGGTAAATCCAGTTGATGAACCCCTGTTCTCAATAGCTGATTTGTTGAAGGTTAAAGATGTCAAAGCAATGCTGACCTTCAGAAAGAACTTGTATGAGAAGATTAACTCTCACTGATATCAGTAAACTGTAGCATTAGAGTAAGCTCTGTAGATGTATGTGATTTACAGGGTAGCTCTGTAGATGTATGTGATTTACTGGGTAGCTCTGTAGATGTATGTGATTTACAGGGTAGCTCTGTAGATGTATGTGATTTACAGTTTAGCTCTGTAGATGTATGTGATTTACAGGGTAGCTCTGTAGATGTATGTGATTTACAGGGTAGCTCTGTAGATGTATCTGTAGATGTATGTGATTTACAGGGTAGCTCTGTAGATGTATGTGATTTACAGGATAGCTCTGTAGATGTATGTGATTAAGGGTGTAGCTGTGTAAATAATGTGTGATGTAGCACATTTCATACAGATAGCTCAGTTTCCTGTTATACATCATCTAGAACAAATGAGATTAATTGAACAATTTTCTTTAAATTTATTTCAGTGAACCATCTGTTTTGCTAAATGACATTGTATACACCCATAAATACATCAATACATTTATATGGAAAGATGTAATTTTAAAAAAAATAATTAAAATATGTTTTATTTTTGAATTTGAACAGTTTGCAGTTTTATGAATATATTTTATTTTTAATGATTCAAGTTTGTTGTTAAGATTTTATTTTTGAAGAGAATATTGTTTCAAGATTTATTTATGGATTTCAATAAATGAGGGCTTACATTTTTGGATTTTAATGACTAAGGACTTGTTTTAAAAATGTATTGATACATTTATGTTGAGGGCTTATTTGTTTTGAGATTTGTTGATGCATAGTAACGATATGGAATGTCATATTTCTTTTAAGATATATTTAGGCTATATAGATTACTTGTTTTACAATTTATAGACTGTAATGACTGAGGGATTATGTTCTCAAACTTTATTAATGGATGTTTTGATTCTATATTGATAGAAACTGAGATCTTATATATACAGGCTTCAGCTCATCCGTGAAACATGTTTATAATCTGCTCTATGTCCTGATAAAAAAAATAATGAACACCCAATGGTCGAAGGTTGTGTTAGTGGACTTCACAGATCATGCATCAATGGTCTGAGTTTTGTGAAGCTCTGTTGGTGGACTTCACAAATCATGTACTGCCACATGTATTAAGCCACAGTCCCATCTTGTTAAGTTTATCACCAACAAAGTGTCCAGCATACAATTTTGTTGACCATACAATTGTGTTGACCATACAACTTTGTTGACCATACAACTTTGTTGACCATACAACTTTGTTGACCATACAACTGATGGTTCACTTGTTTTGCCAAAAACTTCTTGTGAGCGCTAAATAATTTTAAAATGTGCTTAACTTTTCTGTACATATTTCCTCTCAGATTTTTACTCTATTTAGCCAAAAGTTGCCAGTATTTATCTACAGAACAATTCTACTATATGTACTATTATTTTACTTATAAACAATTTATAAAATGTAACCTAACTTTTTATGTTTCATTTAAAATCCTTTTCCTATATTGTGGTTCTAAACAAAAATTTGTGATTCATATTTATTTTAGGTTTTTCCTAATGAACGAAATGCTAGATTCTGAGTTGTTAGAAATAGTAACTTTATTTTGCTGTCTTCACATGTTTTTGTAAATGCCTTTATTGTTATGAATGTGATAAAAGGAAAATATTTAGTATTGGAAATGATTTATGGAACAAATTTTGGAGAAGGTCAGGATTTTGTTTAGATAACATGCCGATCTAAGAATGTAGGACAAATTTAGAACAAGTTCTATGTTGTGTAAACACTGAGTTTCTCTGTAGAAAGAACAAGTTTAAACTAAATGAGGTTATTATCTTGTAACTTATTTGTAATCTTGCTGGAACAAGGTTGTATGTGAACACAATTTTTTATATCATATAGTTGTATATTTTATGATTGAACAAATTGTATATGAACACATTTTTAAAAATTGTGTTGTTTATGATTGCAGATTTCTATTTACAAGAACATGAAAACTGCCACCCTTGTTTGCCTGATTTGGTTTTCTCAGAATATCAGCTGTCTGAGACAATGGTAAACATTCCTAATGAAATATACATGTGATATTTTAATTTCTCACACCTAATTCCTGATTGCTGGTTCTGCATGAGTTTTGCTAATGACAAAATTCATGATTGCTGGTTCTCTTATGAGTTTTGCTAATGACAAAATTCTTGATAGCTAGTACTCTAATCACTTGTGCTGATCTTCATTAAACCTACAGATCAATCACTAATGTGCATCCAGTGCTCAAAGTGCACCGACCTTCCAAGATGCATTAACCTCTGGTGTGCACTAACCCCCCCCCCCCCCCCCACCCCCACACAGCACCCTAAAGCACATGGTGATATTCTTTTAATTTTCCTAATTATTGTTTGTATCATGGATTTGAAATTATTGAATTAATTTAAAAAATTTGTAAACTAAATTAACATTTTATTTTACCACAATATAATTTTTTATATTATATCATTTCTCATTTCAATAGTTTGAACAACTAAACCATGTATCAAGAGCTTTTATTTTAAGATATTTTGTTATTTGTGTGATATATTTAAGGGGATTGCCTTGGGGATGTGACATTATTGGATGATTAAAAATTTCATGTGGTTTTTATTGTGTTTTCTTTTTACACCTGTTATGGAAACTAAAAAAAAATTAAACTCCTGTAATATCCAGCCAATAACATGGTTATAGTTATAGACATGAACTTATTTATTTGATTGTATCATATGAGAATTTAAGATACGACAGCTAAAAATATATCGTGAAACAGTAAAAACAGGAACAGAAAAACAAAACCAGATTTCAAAAATATTCCTAAATTAAGCTCTTAACCGCCCAACAGCACACCATTTATCACTTTGTTTTAAAACACGAATTAAAAACCCCCCTTTGTTTGAAAAAAGTAAAGGGAGGTAATCCAAAGACTTTATTTTTCCTTACAGTAATTTTTGAGTTACTGCCCTTTGTATGTTAAAAAATTCTGATATCAATATTATTAAATGTGTAGTGTAGTTCCCCTATGATTATGACAAGTTAAGTCGTTCGTTGTAGGAATCATGAAGGGCTAGATTTTACATGTGGATTTTTTAGTAATTCGCATTGTTAGAAATAAAACACATCAAGCAGCAAAATGTTGACTTATGTGATTGCCATATGTGCTGTATGATGTGACTGCCTTCTGATGTGATTGACATCTGATGTGATTGCTTTCTGCAGCCTACATATTGAGGGTTTATTGAAGGATTATCAGAAAGGTTAACATCGTGAATCTGCCCCACACAAACTAAAGCAAGCAGCACAAGTTTACCAATAAAGAATCAGTTACAGCCTAGACTTCTCGCTCGACTGTAACCAAACTGATCCATTAAAAAAACATAATCAGGACGATGTAATATAGATCACTAACCTTATGTTAAAACCAATTAATCGACACGGTACTATCTGTAAGCAGAATAGTACAAGAATACCCCGTGTTTTCTCCTTCTTTATATATTAGGTAACTTTATGTTAATTAAAGTAAGTAATTAATTAAAATGATAATCAAATCGATAGTATTTTATCCGATTAAAAAAATCGATGCTAGACCAATTCTTTCAATTTCTTTAATTTTTATTCAACACACATTAAAAAAGAACCTCATATGAAATGATATCATCTTCAGTGTATATTGTTTATAAGCGCGAGAAAAAAAACCGCCGGACAAGAAACTTTGTAAATTGCACATGGTGAGTAGTAAGTAAAGTAAAGTTCCCTTTCAAAGGTGACAGTCTATATGGCAAGTGAAGTAGAGTTCACTTATTTCTGTGACCTCGGAATATGAAGAGATAGTGTGGTCAGGGACGGTCAACTCATTTGACCCCGGATTCGAACTCGAGACTTACGGTTCAGCAGTCCAGCTCTCTACAGCTAGACCACTCCTTCCCAACATGGTTGGGACCCGGTTGTTTTAGATGAACTCTTCTGTGGGTGGGGGGGGGGGGAGATGTGTTTACTCCCAGCTGAGTGTTCTACCACTCGGCCATCCTGCTTCTGATATAAGTTTGATGATATTCAATTGTAAATTGACGTTGGTAATTATGTTAATGAAACTAATTATGTGGTTCACTACGGTGCTGTGAAAGGTGGATTTGCTAATAATAAACTTCTATTAGACAAGAGCTGAATCATCCTACACAGTCTTTAGTACAAATCGTACACATAAATAAGTGTTGCTTCCTCCACAATGACAGTAGGTTATTATCTCTGATTGTAGGAAAAAAAGTCACAGGGAAAAAAAAAACACCGGAAAAAAAAACAGAAAAACAGTCATAGGAAAAAAGTCACAATTATATATTTGTATGGAATTTGTTAATACTTTTATGTGTTAAATATTCAGCGAGTGCAAATCATCTTAAATTAGTTAACTGTAATGTCGTGTGCGTAGGTTGTATATGTATAGTAATGTTTATAGCAAACGTAAACATATTTAGTATGGAGTGTGTAGGCTTTAATTCCGCTATGCATATAATATTTAATATAATTTAATAGAATGTTCGTCTTTTCGGTTTTCATCGTGTCTTTTAAATTAGTGTAAAATGGCATAAAGACGTTTCTAATCTGATTTGCTGCCCTTAACTCACCGCAACAATAGTTCGACCACCTTTTCTGACCACATTTATCACGCTCATTACGTAACAAAGCATAGGATCAAAACAGAAAGCCGACACGGTACAAAGGCTGGCTTTGACACAAAACGTCAACAACACACAATATGGACGGACAAGGCCGACTGAGGAGAAGCCGACCAAGGAATGGCCAACGGCAAAAACAAATATGCAAAACTCAATGATGTGCCAAAATTTCTTTTGTAATTAGTTTTTCTAAAGCGAATTTAACTAAATACGTAACAAAAGTTGAGGTTGCTGTGTAAATTACGTCATATTATTTTTACAGACAGACAGACAGACAGACAGACAGACAGACAGACAGACAGACAGACAGACAGACAGACAGACAGACAGACAGACAGACAGACAGACAGACAGACAGACAGACAGACAGACAGACAGACAGACAGACAGACAGACAGACAGACAGACAGACAGACAGACAGACAGACAGACAGACAGACAGACAGACAGACAGACAGACAGACAGACAGACAGACAGACAGACAGACAGACAGACAGACAGACAGACAGACAGACAGACAGACAGACAGACAGACAGACAGACAGACAGACAGACAGACAGACAGACAGACAGACAGACAGACAGACAGACAGACAGACAGACAGACAGACAGACAGACAGACAGACAGACAGACAGACAGACAGACAGACAGACAGACAGACAGACAGACAGACAGACAGACAGACAGACAGACAGACAGACAGACACGAGAATGTGTTTACAAAAAATATTGGTCGAGTAAACAGCTCTACAGCCGACATATTTGAAATGCCACTTTTCTCTAAAAGAACGCCATCTCTGATTGTTTGTGCACAAGTGACGTGCGTTGATCCTTCAACCGGAAGAGCAATCTATTTGACGGACAAACGCCACTCTTCGCAGATCTTGGCGCCAAATTGCAGCAGATGGGAAACTAATGTCAGCCTCAGCGGCGTGAAGTTCAGCGGATTTACCCGCTGACTATTCCAGGCGCGGCAAACACAATCACGCCACGGAACTAGGTCAAGGTCGGTGGACGTCGCGTCCCTGTCGTCTGTGAATGATTTCCAATATTTTTAAATTAAACGCGGCCATTGATTGAAATCTCGTACTGTCCCCCACCTCCCCATCACACGGGAAGGTAAATGGAAAAAAAATTCGATTTGATTCAATAAACCTCGGTGATGAGATAGTATTACGCCCCCCTCCCCCCCCCCCCCCCCCCCCACCCCCATCATACCCCGACCTTTATCCCACAATTGATGCCTTCCTCTGAAACTTTGGCAGTGTGGTGGGGATGGGAGGGGGGCGGAGACATTTGAAAATTTGGCTGTGGGGGGTAGAGGGGTGGCGAACACTTGAGACTTTGGCTAGTGTGTGTGTAAGGGTGGGGGTGTGTGGGACACGTACAACTTTGGCTGGGGTGGGGCAAAGAGTGTGAGCAGGTTCCTTCCAGACTTTTTTTCTCCGGGTGCGAGGGGGGCACTTGAAATTTTCGGGGGTAGAGGGCAGACTAAAATTTCAGGGGGGACGTGACGGGGACACATATAAAGTATATATTTTCTATATGAATTCCATTTCGTTCGGGGGGCGGTAGACTCTCTTCGCCCCCCACCCCTCCGAGAGATGCCTGTAAGAAACACTGAGTGTGAGTTAGTCCTTAACTCCTACACTAAATTCACCCTCCGTTAAATCATCATCTCTTAAAACAGATTGCTTTTGTTTAACCCGCGCCCACTAAACTACCATCTTTACCTAATTAAAATATGATTACATAATATATCATTACCTAATAAAATGGCCTTACCTAATAAAATGGCCTTACCTAATTAAAATGTGATTACCTATTTAAAATGTGATTACCTAATTAAAATGTGATTGCCTAATTAAAATGTGATTACCTATGGAATGGTTTTCTATTTTCGTCTCACATAAAAAGACCTATGAGTTTATTGAACCTTGACACGATGGCAGTTAATGAATGTTTTTAATTACGTCGTTAATACTGCATGTTGCTAAATATAGAATACCCAATGTCAAACTAATGTCCCAGTTTTAGGACATGACAACATCCTGTGGTAATCTGGAGGCTGTGATTGTGTTCTACAGGCAGAGGCGTAGCGACCCTTCCCGGCGCCCTGGACAAACTTTCGATTTACACCCCCCCCCTCGAACTTTTCATTTGCACCCCCCTCAAACTTTCAATTTGGCGCCCCCCCCTAAGGTCGGCGCCCGGGGACATATGTCCCCCACCCCCCTCGCTACGCCTCTGTCTTCAGGCAGCGATTGTGTTAGGCAGCGATTGTGTTTTAGTGATTGTTAAACGTGCATTGTCTTAAGAGCGTGATAAGGACAGTTATTGTGTCCAACAGAGACGATTGTCTTTAGAAAGTGATTATGCCATCAAAACAGTGATTGTGTCATTAAGTCAATGATTGTGCCATTAAGACGATTGTGTAATTAAGACCGTGATCGTGCCATGAGTATTGTGTGTCATTAAAACATTGATTATTTTATTCTTGCTGTGACTGGGTCAGTAAGAAAGTGACTAATTCTGACAGTGATTGTACAGTGTCGATCTGACAGTGATTGTGACTAATTCTGACAGTGATTGTGACTAAATTAGACACATTGACAGTAATTCTGACAGTGATTATGACAGTGTAATTCTGACAGTGATTGTATCAAGCCATTACAAATCTTAAAGCTGTTTTGTGCTGCTCCTACTCCAACATAGAACAACGTTGGCTAATCACACACATTTTAAAACGCGATATTTCAAATAACTAGTTAATTATTCATCTCATTTAAATTTAGGACTTCTCGATGGTAGCTAAATATCGTTTCACTACCGCCATTGAAATTAACTTGGGATTCAGATTTCGTTGGAAAAAATCCTCTCACGAATAGTCAGGAAATACAATCTGATGATCCCTCGGGAAAAATCATCCAAGAATAATACAGCAGCATCAAATCTACAGAATACAAATGGTCAATTCCAGAACATATTAGGTCAACACAACTTATGTTGGCGGTGTAAATAGTTTACAGCTTTAAGGTGGAACATTGTAGAAGGTGTATTCTTGTTTGCAACACACAAAAAAGCAGATTCCATGATTAAAATGTTTGTAAACCTTATTTTAATACACTTTTTATCAAAATATAAACAATTTGTTATAAACTAAAATGACAACAAAAAATGTACAGTTCAGTTAAAACAGATCTTGCTAATTTGAACTTGCTGATATAAAAGCTAAAATGTTCACAATATTAGTAAAAATATACGTAGAATGCTGTAAAATGTATTTCGGTATATTTTAAAAAATTTAGTTAATAAAATTAAATATTGTATGATTTAATTTTGATTTAAAAAAATGGACTATCTTAAAATTGTAATACGTTAGTAGCTAGATTCTACAAATTTTAAAATATATATATATACATATAATTTAAAACAATAGTTTATGTAGCCTATCGGTGTTTTTATATAATAACCAGTTTAAAAATTAATTTTATCAATAAAAATTTTTAAGTAATAAAATTTTCTTGTATACCACATTAAAGTCAAACATGAAGACACTATGGCTAAACCAGCAAGACATGGTTGAACCAGCAAGACATGGTTGAACCAGCAAGACATGGTTGAACCAACAAGACATGTTAAACCACCAAGACATGGTTGAACCAGCAAGATATGGTTAAACAATCAAGACATGGTTGAACCAGCAAGATATGGTTAAACCACCAAGACATGGTTGAACCAGCAAGATATGGTTAAACAAGCAAGACACGGTTGAACCAGCAAGATATGGTTAAACCACCAAGACATGGTTGAACCAGCAAGATATGGTTAAACAAGCAAGACATGGTTGAACCAGCAAGATATGGTTAAACCACCAAGACATGGTTGAACCAGCAAGATATGGTTAAACAAGCAAGACATGTTAAACCACCAAGACATGGTTAAACCACCACGACATGGTTAAACCAACAAGACATGTTAAACCAACAAGACAGATGGCACTAAATTAGTTTCTCCCGGCAGACCGCGACTCTGGCACCACGATAGCACCAGCTCCTCTCCATCACCTCATACACCACAAAGCTCCTAAACTCCGGCTCCACCAGCTCCATAAAGTCCACGTCACACAGCTCGTTCTGGATCAGCCGTGGCACACCCAGTGTCCGGACCTGATCTCTCCGGGCCGGCATGGGTCTCAGGCGCCGGACAACGGCCTGTCTGGACAGCGTGAACAAGCTCAGGGGCTGAGAGACCAACTCCTGCAGTTCCTGCAACTTGTCCGGCACGAAGGTGTCCATGGCTTCGTGTGACCTGGTCAGCTCCTCAAAGTAGTCGGAGCTGAACATGTTGAAGCAGGCCAGCTCGCTCATGCAGCCTTTACCAGCCCTGGCGAAGACGTCGAAGACACCTCTGGGCACCGTGGGCAGGAGACACAGGACGTACAGATGGAAGTGGCTGAGGATGGTAAACATGTTCAGTGATGGTAGTGAGATACATCACACATGGTACATACATCGTGTGTACATCATTCACTCCTGATTCATTCACTATCCACACATCATACATCACTAGCACAACACTCGCACATCACTCGTACACAAAGATTGTCACTATCTCGGTGGGCATTCACTTTAGATGGACAGTCAGTTTAGATAAACATTCAGTTTAGATAAAGTTTCCTACCAACCCAACCCTATACCAACCCCCTAGCAACCCAACCATATGCCAACCCTCCCCTATACCAACCCTCCCCCTATACCAACCCTCCCCCTATACCAACCCTCCCCCTATACCAACCCTCCCCCTATACCAACCCTCCCCCTATACCAACCCTCCCATATACCAACCCTCCTATCACCACTCACCCCTTAAAGTTCTCTATAGCGCCATACTCTACCAGCAGTTTTACAGCTACGGTGCCAAAGTTGATAGCAGCACACATGAGGGCGGGGCTAAACCTGCGGCCCAGGTCAGTCAGCATGATTCCCGTGTCCAGGTACAGCTTCATGCTCTCCAGGTCGGCCTGTAAGGTGGAGAACAGGAGCCCGTAGTACAGGATCAGCCAGTCCTTGGGGCACGGGCCGTTGGAGGTCACTGGCCAGTGGATTGGGCAAGGTCTGTTGGTGGCTGGAGGCGGATCTTGTGGTGATGGCGTGTTTGAGGCCGATGGTCCCTGTGGGCAGGGTCTGTTTGAGGCCGATGGCCCATCTTGTGCGCAGGGTCTGTTTAAGGCCGATGTCCCATCTTGTGCGCAGGGTCTATTGGAGGCCGATGGCCCATCTTGTGGGCAGGGTCTGTTTAAGGCCGATGGCCCATCTTGTGCGCAGGGTCTGTTGGAGGCCGATGGCCCATCTTGCGGGCAGGTTCTGTTTAAGGTCGATGGCCCACCTTGCGGGCAGGTTCTGTTTAAGGCCGATGGCCCATCTTGTGGGCAGGGTCTGTTTGAGGCCGATGGCCCATCTTGCGGGCAGGTTCTGTTTAAGGCCGATGGCCCATCTTGCGGGCATGTTCTGTTTAAGGCCGATGGCCCATCTTGTGGGCAGGGTCTGTTTAACGCCGATGGCCCATCTTGTGGGCAGGGTCTGTTTGAGGCCGATGGCCCATCTTGCGGACAGGTTCTGTTTAAGGCCGATGGCCCATCTTGCGGGCAGGTTCTGTTTAAGGCCGATGGCCCATCTTGTGGGAAGGGTCTGTTGGAGGCCGATGGCCCATCTTGTATGAACACGTCCGATGGCCAATGGTGTGGGCAGGGTCTATTGGAGGCCGGTTGGCCATGTCGTGGAACGAAGACGTTGCCTCTAGTTGGCCAGTGTTGTAGACAGGGCGTGGTGCCTGTTGGACACTCATGTGGGTGGAGTAAGTTTGAGGCGGCTGGCCAATGTAGTGGGCAGGGTGTGTGTGAGATGGATGGCCAATGTTGTTCGCAGGGTGTGTTGGTGGCAGTGGGCCAGAACTGTGGGCAGGGGACATTGGTGACCAGGGGCAACGTCCTGTAGTACCTGCAGTTGACACACACGTTTAAGGACACAGTACATGAGTGACGTCAAACTGATGTCAACTACCAAGTAAATAAATCCACTTAACTAATCTTAACTACACACATCTGGGTGGTGGCTGGTGGGATGGTGTGGTCAAGGTGTAGAGTGAGTGTGTGAGTGCTAAAATTGGGAGTGGGTGGGATGGTGTGGTCAAGTGATAGAGTGAGTGAGTGCTAAAATTGGGAGTGGGTGGGATGGTGTGGTCAAGTGATAGAGTGTGTGTGTGAGTGCTAAAATTGGGAGTGGGTGGGTTGGTGTGGTCAAGTGATAGAGTGTGTGTGTGAGTGCTAAAATTGGGAGTGGGTGGGTTGGTGTGGTCAAGTGATAGAGTGCACGAATCTAAGCAAAATCATCGAGTTCGGTAACCGGAATCTAGTCTTTAGGATGTCCAGATCCATCCATGTCTTGTGGGTGAAGTTGAAAGACGGCTGGGGGTGACCACGCTATACCCAGGGTTTCTTTCAGGTACTTTTTTCTGGGTGGGTACCTTAACCTACAAGGAGGCGCACTTAACATTTCTGGAAGATGGGCGGTCACTGGTTACAGTGCATATTGTACAAATACATTTTATAGTTCTTTATTATTTGTTTCGTGTGATGGGGTGGGGTGGGCGTACTCCCTGGAGAGATGCTGCAAATTAATTCTTGTTATACTCTCAAGGGTGAAATATAATTTAACACCTGTAACTGGAATACCACATATACAGATGATATGCTGCATATGTAGGTGAGATACATTGGTTGGTGAATTACTACCAATGACTAAAGGACCCTCACGTTAAAACCTGTTCACTTTATTTTTTTTTATAAATATATTTAGCCCTATGGTTTTAGACAAATAGTTTTCACACGTCACAAACTAAAGCTACAAATCAAATCGACACAAACTGTCAACAAGACTAACAGTAATACGCCCATCTTAACTGTACAAGGTTGAATATAACCGGTGCTCTAAGGCCGAATATACTGGACCGTGTCACTTTTAATATCACACAATAGACTCGACTACATCAGTATAACACCACATCAACCTAACACACAACTCCCCAGTATAAAAAGTAAGTAGATCCTAGATCTAATTTTAAAAAAAAAAGCAGGTGAAACTTTTCTCCCACCTTTTGATGTGACCTAGTTGGTGTTCTATTCCATCAATTCCAGGAAGGTCAACGGTTTTCTCAAAGATGGTGTCCCCATTCTCCCGTCTGAATTGGATGTTCATGTAATGTAGTGTGTTGGGCATCCTTGCTATGATGTAGTCAGTAGCTCCCTTGGTGCCTAAACAATAGCTTATACTAGTTGAAGTCATGTACAAGCGTTAGCACCTGTTGAGATCATATACAACTGTTAGCACATTTTGATACATAAATAGCACCTACTTCTACACACATTTCAGATACACATTAAATTATACCGATTGCAGCACATGCGACTAAGCTATACTTATTGCACACATATACTTAAGTTATACTTATTGCACACGTATACTTAAGCTATACCTATTGCCTCACAAAGACTACGCTGTGTAGCCCTATTTGAAGGCACTGTTATGTTGTCTCGCTACCCTACGAACGTTGTCAAACTCCCAATGTGTGTTTGGGACGGAGCACATTAAACGGTGTTTTAAGACATGTTTTTCTTGTACAGTTGTTTACAAACACACAGTGACACGTAGACAAACTCCAGACTTTCACACAACTCCACACCATTTGTGAACACACCCATCCTTGTGTTGTGATTTGAGCAGAGTTCACTGTATCGTCTCAATGTCCGTCTTGTGTGGACCAAACAACACACCACGCGAGGAGTGAACACCTTATTGTACACACTTCCTGCTCGACCAGTGGACACATGTGTTGACCCCAGAGATGATGTAACTGTATATCTACACGGGAGCTATAATTTTTTAATCGAGGAAGAAAGTATTAAATAATGTTTGAAATCTGAGTTATGAAAACCAAATAAATTATTTTCTTGTAAAAAAAAAATGTGAATCCAGGTGAGGAGATGAAGCGTGAAGTCTGCACACGTGACGTGATCTGACACTTAACTGGGGTGTGTGGTGACGGCTGGGGGGGGGGGGGGGGGTCATCGACTCAAGAGCACCATATAGGCAGAAAAAAAAAGTAATATAATACGCCTCAAGTACTATTACTGTATGAAGTACGAGCTGACCAGCGACGTAGCATACGTTTATAGTTTATATGTTTAGTTTAGTAACTATTTTTCAGTAATTCAGAATTTGTGAATTCGACACTACCAATGCTGTGACTGAAAATATTTTGCTTTAAAACACTATCAGTAGCTAGTGAAGGACGATTATCCTCACCCTCGCTTTCCACTCCGCCCCCCCCCCCCCCCACCCCATCCCGCCTCCGTGAAAACAGCCGTCTGTGACGACAGTTTACAGACGACAATGACAGGGACAAACAGAACATGTTATTATCTTACCTTAGTTTCAAATCGTTTAAAAACTAAATTATCTGCCCCATAATAGCCGACACTACGATTGTAAACAGCTCACCAGACTGGGTGGGGTGAGCATGACGGGGTGGGGTTAGCATGATGAGGTGGGGTGGGGTTAGCATGATGAGGTGGGGTTAGCATGATGAGGTGGGGTGGGGTTAGCATGATGAGGTGGGGTGGGGTTAGCATGATGGGGTGGGGTGGGGTGGGGTGGGGTGAGCATGGTGGGGTGGGGTGAGCATGATGGGGTGGGGTGGGGTGAGCATGATGGGGTGGGGTGGGGTGAGCATGATGGGGTGGGGTGGGGTGAGCATGATGGGGTGGGGTGAGCATGATGGGGTGGGGTGGGGTGAGCATGATGGGGTGGGGTGGGGTGAGCATGATGGGGTGGGGTGAGCATGATGGGGTGGGGTGGGGTGAGCATGATGGGGTGGGGTGAGCATGATGGGGTGGGGTGGGGTGAGCATGATGGGGTGGGGTGGGGTGAGCATGATGGGGTGGGGTGGGGTGAGCATGATGGGGTGGGGTGGGGTGAGCATGATGGGGTGGGGTGAGCATGATGGGGTGGGGTGGGGTGAGCATGATGGGGTGGGGTGGGGTGAGCATGATGGGGTGGGGTGGGGTGAGCATGATGGGGTGGGGTGGGGTGAGCATGATGGGGTGGGGTGGGGTGAGCATGATGGGGTGGGGTTGGGTTAGCATGATGGGGTGGGGTGGGGTGGGGTGAGCATGACGGAGTGGGGTGAGCATGATGGGGTGGGGTGGGGTTAGCATGATGGGGTGGGGTGGGGTAAGCATGATGGGGTGGGGTGGGGTGAGCATGATGGGGTGGGGTGGGGTGAGCATGATGGGGTGGGGTGGGGTAAGCATGATGGGGTGGGGTGGGGTGAGCATGATGGGGTGGGGTGGGGTGAGCATGATGGGGTGGGGTGGGGTGGGGTAAGCATGATGGGGTGGGGTGGGGTGAGCATGATGGGGTGGGGTGGGGTTAGCATGATGGGGTGGGGTGGGGTTAGCATGATGGGGTGGGGTGGGGTGAGCATGGTGGGGTGGGGTGGGGTGAGCATGACGGAGTGGGGTGGGGTGAGCATGGTGGGGTGGGGTGGGGTTAGCATGATGGGGTGGGGTGGGGTTAGCATGATGGGGTGGGGTGGGGTGAGCATGACGGAGTGGGGTGGGGTGAGCATGGTGGGGTGGGGTGGGGTTAGCATGATGGGGTGGGGTGGGGTGAGCATGATGGGGTGGGGTGGGGTTAGCATGATGGGGTGGGGTGGGGTGAGCATGATGGGGTGGGGTGGGGTTAGCATGATGGGGTGGGGTGGGGTGGGGTGAGCATGGCGGAGTGGGGTGAGCATGACGGAGTGGGGTGGGGTGAGCATGATGGGGTGGGGTGGGGTTAGCATGATGGGGTGGGGTGGGGTTAGCATGATGGGGTGGGGTGGGGTGGGGTGAGCATGACGGAGTGGGGTGAGCATGACGGAGTGGGGTGGGGTGAGCATGATGGGGTGGGGTGGGGTTAGCATGATGGGGTGGGGTGGGGTGAGCATGATGGGGTGGGGTGGGGTTAGCATGATGGGGTGGGGTGGGGTGAGCATGATGGGGTGGGGTGGGGTTAGCATGATGGGGTGGGGTGGGGTGAGCATGATGGGGTGGGGTGGGGTTAGCATGATGGGGTGGGGTGGGGTGAGCATGATGGGGTGGGGTGGGGTTAGCATGATGGGGTGGGGTGGGGTGAGCATGATGGGGTGGGGTGGGGTTAGCATGATGGGGTGGGGTGGGGTTAGCATGATGGGGTGGGGTGGGGTGGGGTGAGCATGACGGAGTGGGGTGGGGTTAGCATGATGGGGTGGGGTGGGGTGAGCATGATGGGGTGGGGTGGGGTTAGCATGATGGGGTGGGGTGGGGTGGGGTGAGCATGATGGGGTGGGGTGGGGTTAGCATGATGGGGTGGGGTGGGGTTAGCATGATGGGGTGGGGTGGGGTGAGCATGATGGGGTGGGGTGGGGTTAGCATGATGGGGTGGGGTGGGGTGGGGTGAGCATGATGGGGTGGGGTGGGGTTAGCATGATGGGGTGGGGTGGGGTGAGCATGATGGGGTGGGGTGGGGTGAGCATGATGAGGTGGGGTGGGGTGAGCATGATGGGGTGGGGTGGGGTTAGCATGATGGGGTGGGGTGGGGTGAGCATGACGGGGTGGGGTGGGGTGAGCATGACGGGGTGGGGTGGGGTGAGCATGACGGGGTGGGGTGGGGTGAGCATGACGGGGTGGGGTGAGCATGACGGGGTGGGGTGGGGTGATCATGATGGGGTGGGGTGGGGTTAGCATGATGGGGTGGGGTGGGGTGAGCATGATGGGGTGGGGTGGGGTTAGCATGATGGGGTGGGGTGGGGTGAGCATGATGGGGTGGGGTGAGCATGATGGGGTGGGGTGGGGTGAGCATGATGGGGTGGGGTGGGGTGAGCATGATGGGGTGGGGTGGGGTGGGGTGAGCATGACGGAGTGGGGTGAGCATGACGGAGTGGGGTGGGGTGAGCATGATGGGGTGGGGTGGGGTTAGCATGATGGGGTGGGGTGGGGTTAGCATGATGGGGTGGGGTGGGGTGGGGTGAGCATGACGGAGTGGGGTGAGCATGACGGAGTGGGGTGGGGTGAGCATGATGGGGTGGGGTGGGGTTAGCATGATGGGGTGGGGTGGGGTGAGCATGATGGGGTGGGGTGGGGTGAGCATGATGAGGTGGGGTGGGGTGAGCATGATGGGGTGGGGTGGGGTTAGCATGATGGGGTGGGGTGGGGTGAGCATGACGGGGTGGGGTGGGGTGAGCATGACGGGGTGGGGTGGGGTGAGCATGACGGGGTGGGGTGGGGTGAGCATGACGGGGTGGGGTGAGCATGACGGGGTGGGGTTGGGTGATCATGATGGGGTGGGGTGGGGTTAGCATGATGGGGTGGGGTGGGGTGAGCATGATGGGGTGGGGTGGGGTGAGCATGATGGGGTGGGGTGAGCATGATGGGGTGGGGTGGGGTGGGGTGAGCATGACGGAGTGGGGTGAGCATGATGGGGTGGGGTGGGGTGGGGTGAGCATGACGGAGTGGGGTGAGCATGACGGAGTGGGGTGAGCATGATGGGGTGGGGTGGGGTGGGGTGAGCATGATGGGGTGGGGTGGGTGGGTGAGCATGATGGGGTGAGGTGAGCATGATGGGGTGGGGTGGGGTGAGCATGATGGTGTGGGGTGGGGTGAGCATGACGGGGTGGGGTGGGGTTAGCATGATGAGGTGGGGTGGGGTGAGCATGATGAGGTGGGGTGAGCATGACGGAGTGGGGTGAGCATGACGGGGTGGGGTGAGCATGACGGAGTGGGGTGAGCATGACGGAGTGGGGTGAGCATGACGGAGTGGGGTGAGCATGACGGGGTGGGGTGGGGTTAGCATGATGAGGTGGGGTGGGGTGAGCATGATGGGGTGGGGTGGGGTGAGCATGATGGGGTGGGGTGGGGTGGGGTGAGCATGATGGGGTGGGGTGGGGTGGGGTGAGCATGATGGGGTGGGGTGGGGTGACCATGATGGGGTGGGGTGGGGTGAGCATGACGGAGTGGGGTGGGGTGGGGTGAGCAGGATGGGGTGGGGTGGGGTGGGGTGAGCATGATGGGGTGGGGTGGGGTGAGCATGATGGGGTGGGGTGGGGTGGGGTGACCATGATGGGGTGGGGTGGGGTGAGCATGACGGGGTGGGGTGGGGTGGGGTGACCATGATGGGGTGGGGTGGGGTGAGCATGACGGGGTGGGGTGGGTGGGTGAGCATGATGGGGTGGGTGAGCATGATGGGGTGGGGTGGGTGGGTGAGCATGATGGGGTGGGGTGGGGTGGGGTGACCATGATGGGGTGGGGTGGGGTGGGGTGACCATGATGGGGTGGGGTGGGGTGAGCATGATGGGGTGGGGTGGGTGGGTGAGCATGATGGGGTGGGGTGGGGTGAGCATGATGGGGTGGGGTGGGGTGGGGTGACCATGATGGGGTGGGGTGGGGTGGGGTGACCATGATGGGGTGGGGTGGGGTGAGCATGACGGGGTGGGGTGGGGTTAGCATGATGGGGTGGGGTGAGCATGACGGGGTGGGGTGAGCATGACGGG